TCTTTCTTGCCCCATCGGTGCGAGAGGACCGCGTAAGGCGGGATTTCATCTGTGAATTCTTCGAGCTGTAAACGCCCCGTGTGAATTAGACGCATTGTCGGTGTCAGTGCAGAGTATGCAAAGGAAGAGAAGTTGGGCCTCTGTTTACGGCGGGCATATCGTCTAGTCTCTTTGGGGTATGGTTGCTTGGCCATGTGACGTGGCAGACATCAGCTTTATTCTAGAATCTCCTCAGCTCTCTATGTTCAGAACGTCAGTAGAAGCTCAATTTGTTAACGATAGTGACCAGGCCTGAGCCAAATGTATCAATGCTCAGATGATACTTCAAATCGAGCGAGACCGCATAAAACAAATGCTCATCCCCAACTGAACATACGCAAATTGTGTTAAACAATCTCCATTTCGTCACAAGGTCACTCATCTTAGTTACCAGGTATCGTTCTCCTTCCATTCGGCCTTGCTAGTTAGTTCGGCCGATTGAAACTACTTCTCGCTACCCTGACAGGGTGGTATTTCTATGTCAGAGTAGAACTGACGAACCAAAGAGGAAGCCTGGTATACCATCCATTACAAAAGTACAACTGTGATTTTCAGTCAGTTTGCTATTTTAGTATTTGCGATCACGTGCCTAAATGCAAAGTGTCCTGCATCTTATGAGCATTGAAAGCTCCAAGAGTGCCCAGCATTGCGCATCTCTGCCTGCTCTAACAAAGTATTCCTAAAATGACAGCGAGTCTTCCTCTTTTTAGGGGAAACAGCATTTCCTTGGAAGATGCCTTGGAGGATGACGATAATATTCTCTATCAGTTAGATTATCCGCAGAAAAAGCAGGAATTCTGGTCGTATTTTCTCTCTTATAAGAATGATATTGAAGAAATAGTGTACTTTCATCTTTGTGTAAAATATTGTTAGATAGTTGATGAAACTCGCTGGTTATTTGGCAGTTACAATGTATGTATTCCTGTCTATATCGATCCACTATCCGAACAGGTGGTCCTTGTTCGAATTCTCTTACCTTTTAAAATTGGAGAGGCGTTTAATCTTGGAAATATGGATGAAAAGATGCGGTGCGAAGTAGCTACCTATATTTGGATTCGTGAGAATTGCCCGACTGTCTCTATTCTGTCCTTCTATGGGTTCGCATTTTCTAATGGGCTGACAGTCTGTGAACTCAATCCAATGTCTTTTGGGCAAATTAATTAAGTGCGTATCCTAGTTCGCTGAGGTATCTTCTGTTTTCTTTTTTACTCGACTCCAGTGGCGTGTAAAACGAACCATCAGTTCGCTGCTTGGGTTCCCTGCAGTATGTTCCTATGTCAGCCTCAGACGCTCGACTTTATTGAGAACCGGATACATGATCATAAGTCTCGTGAAGAATGGTTAGATGTTTTTCAATTCTTGGGCCATATACCTCCTTGAGGATAATTCTTGCAGAAAAACTTTTTTTCGCGATCTCGTAAATATAATAATTGCACTAAATCGTACCCGGTTGCCGCAAATTGGATCCTTGATGTTAAATGACAACGGGATTATTAGTGTATCGAACCGCTCTTTGATACTTCGGCTGTAAACTTTTGAGAATGAAGGTATCTCTACGATCCCGAGAATCTCAACCTACCAGGTGGTGGAGCTATATATTCTAGATCTTTTACAGTGTCATGACAACCGCCTTTACTACTAGCCCAATGCTATCTATAGTATAAATGACGGTCAGGAGCAATTTGCCGCTTTGACTATGATGTGTGGTCTTCTCCATCTGTTTATATCACGTTAATATCGCGACGGGCTATTCGTGCTTACACTTACTGATCTTTACCCGAGTAATATATTTGTTGATGAAAATTGGCATGTACTATCTTTTATTAATCTAGAATGGGTATGTTCGTTCCCTGTTGAGTTACAGACACCCCTATATTAGCTATCTGGCCGACCTATTGATGATATTGAGTATAGAGAATATCTGCGGACCTTCGAGAAAATTATTAATGAATTTATAGATATCTTTGAAGAACAGGAGAAAAGGCTTCAAGGTTTTAATACTGTCCAGGCTTAGATTATAAGACAATGCTGGGTTAAAGAAAGTTTTTGGTATTTTTAGGCTACACACAGTCTAAAAGAACTTTTTAATGTCTTTAACGAGTATATCCAATGCAGGTTTTGTGAGGAACATTGCACCCAACGGGTGTTTGATCGAATTGTCAGTCCTTACTGGTGTGTAGGAGCCGAGGATTTTATTTAAAAAAAAGGTCGAAGAGGACACGAAGTACAAAGATCGGTTAAGAAGAAGGTTTGATAGCATTGGCCAACAATGCGATCCATGTGTTTGAAGTAAGCACTGCATTACAACGGGACGGGTCATCCTCAAGGACCCGTACGTAGCCTACCAAGTCAGATACTTATTGATTCACATTGCATTATCAAAGTCATGTGGATACCTAACAGGATACCACTTAGAGACCATTCCCACCTTTAGCGTATATGTTGATATTCACTATGTAGCGAATTCATAGGGGAGTACAAACCTGGTAACCTAAACCCTAAGCAAGTAGCAATGTTGGGAGGCAAATTATTTAATCTATCTGCCCCTATTTTCTCCTACTTTCCTCAAACCCCACTCAAGAATTATCCATCCAGGACCATCCTTAATCCAAATTTTCCCCCTATCTCAGGAAAAGGGTAAGACTTGTTGAATCTTACAGAGTCATGAAGACACCAAATTATTCAAGACTAACTTCATGTCCATATTCATCTTCTACCAACTCTGTCTCCTGGGAATCAACCCAGTAGAGTATTCACTACACCTTTTATTATTACTTCCCATACATCGTTGTCTTCCATGCAAAGCAGGATTCTCCATACATAACATGATCTGTCCACTCCCTCAACCACGAGGCGTCTTTCAGAGATGCTGTAGACTCCGTCCATAAAGCCGTGAGAAATGTCTTCCCATCAAAGAAGGGCAATGATAATGTTCGCGTTTTGACCCTGAGATGGTCAAAGGGCGACTTGGAGCTTTCCGGCATTGAGATGGAACTTCTTGGACTTCTCTCTGCCAAACTCCATTATGCCTTGTCACCTGGCCATCGGACTGTATTTACCGAAGGTCCATGGCAGCTGGAAGGAGATTCCATAGTTACGATTTGGATTCCAATGCATATACCAGTACATATGCCCGTCGTGCGGCTCACGGAAAGCTTCTAAAGCCCATCACCAAGTATGACAGCCCTGTCAGGCGTATCTACCTACACCCTGAATAGCTCAAACTTACCTGGTTAGACCAGGCCAGAACGCATAAGAGGAAGCTTGCCCTACTACTTCCTAAACGGGCCTTTGGCAAGCGCTTTTCATCGTCGTCTATGAAGGTCACTCGTATATACCTACCAGTGCTTCATATCTCATGTTATAGTACGTTTCTCCTCCCAAATGTTGACAACACAATAAACTAATAGAAACAGTGGCTCGCAGCATCCAGCAGCTCCAACTCTCCCATGAGGCTATGAGGAATCAATCTTGGAGACAACTGACAATGCCGATATTTTGATTTTACTTGACTCCTGTTTTCCAACTGCAGCGGCACCTGGTGCCCTTCTTTGCATGTCCGCTTCGAGGAATTGTGGCTTCGGAAACCGAATTAAGATGAGAGCGGGTAACGAATAGTTGGCGACATCGGCTTTGGAGTCTCCAGCCACTGAATATGTAGGGAGGAGCTTCACCCGTATGTTTCTTGATTTGTTGGCAAGCATGGATTGTCCAGAGATTGAAGTGGCCCACCTCTATGCCAAGGTAGTGAAACAGGCCAACATACCCCAGTGAGCTAGACTATACTCCCGTGCACATCTCAAGCGTGGATAAGCTGCCATCAATCACGCTCCATCCGCTTTACAAATACCGACACCGGTGTCCGTGTGGAATATACTCAAGCAAAGCGACAGATACGGCTTTATTGTTGATATAGAAACCCACAATCTCCTTTCTCGGTCAACCCAATCCCTCAAACATTCTACAAAGTCAGGCGGGCAACGTGCAGCTTCCCCACCCGGGAAAAAGTAAAATCCTGTTCTCTCTGATGCCGTCCTTATTCAATATTGCTCTTATATACCTTTGCTCTTTGTGTATTTATGAGAGAAAAAAAAAAGAAAAGAAAAAAGACCAGCCAGCGACCTTCTGATTACATGGAGTAGATTCTACCCACATTACTTCCCCCCGGCCTCCCTAAATCAAGCAAAGCAAATTGTGCTACAAGCAGTACACTCAGGTTCTTGACCTGATCATGTATGAATGACTTCAAATACATAGAATTATAGTACAATAGAATCAAAGGGCATGGGATTGTAACACATTTGGTGCTCAGTGGTATAGGGTAAACACGCCCACGTGACTGAAACTAACCAACAGAAGAAGATAGTTCAGCCTGTCAGCGCATACACGAGTCCATATTCAGATATCTAATGGCTGTCAGCCCGTTAGAATCTACAGTACTGCCTAGTAGGGGTCCAGGAAGGCTCCCTTGCACGCGTTGAGGAGCCAGAGTCGTACGCCGCATTGCGCAATCTTCGTGATCGAGAATAAAAAAAACAAAAACAGTTCCAGACCGACGGTTAGTGTCGGCGCGCCTAGTACCCTCTCGCCATGTCGGATCCCTGTGGTATGTCCGGCATGGCCCACCTCGTGCAGGAAGGCCCTTGGCCGATCAAACAGGGCGCCGCGCATAAGGAGATTCGGAAATGTTATGTAGATATTCCCCCGAGCCGAGTGTTGCTCTCTTTGCTCCTTGGTAAATTCGGGGCAGGAAGTTCCTCGTACGAGATGTCTACATAGATAACACTAGACTTTCTGAACCACTTTACAGGAATACAGCTTGGACCACAACACGTGCACATATGTCCAAAAGGTTACAGGTGGAAGGACAGCAGTTTCTGGCCTCCCACAGGTCCTCATATTCTAGTTGTAGTATTACATAACCAACAAGTAAGTTTCTAATAAGTCACTACTACCACAGCTCACACACCACCCTCCTTCTTGGCACTGATATTCGCTCCATCCTCAGTAACATCCAAAGAGCTACCGAGCGTAGCAGTCCACTTGCGCACCAGATGACCCTTTAAGATAATTCCCGCCATGATAATATCGACAAAAACAATCAGGAACGCGCCCATTCCCCACATCCAGCCCACGCCAACAGAAGACTGCCACTGCGTGACGATGAACACGGACATCAGGCCGAACGAGACTCGATACGCGTTCAGCGACACCGAGGCCTCGACCGGGTTATTCAGGAAGCATTCGATGATATAGTTATAGCAGACCGGGAGGGCAAGCATCGCTCCAAACCAGATCAGGAACGAGCCCAGCGCCAACACCATGAAGTGGAGGTGGTATTGGAGGCCGGCGCCGTAGATCCCGAGCCCGATGGGGAGGATGATGCTCGGCAGGATGGTGTTTGCCAGGCGGTACTCGGTGTGCCAGGTTCCGCCGCGGCGACGGGCGAGCCAGAGAGGTGTCTTGTCGTTGAAGAAGAAGCCGTAGACTTGAGCGCTGATGATTCCCACCCAGGCTGTCATGGTGAAGAAGGCCATTTGCAGGGAGGAGAAGCCGTACCCGCCCGCTTCCTCTGGGGGTTCGAGGTAGGTGGCCAATGTGGAGGCTTGCA